CAGTTAACCAAAAGAAAGAAAGAGCACCTCCAAATCAACAAAATCAGAGATGAAAGGGGAAACATTTCAACAGACACCAGAAAGATACAGAACATTATAAGGGAATACTTTAAAAACCTATATGCTACCAAATTCGAAAACCTAAAAGAAATGGATGCATATCTAAAGGCATGGGAACCACCAAAACTAAACCAAGAAGAGATTAACAGCTTAAACAGACCCATATCACAAAAAGAAATGGAAACAGTAATACAAAACCTCCCGACTAAAAAATGCCCAGGACCAGATGGATTTACAGCAGAATTCTATCAGACATTTAAAGAAGATCTGCATCCAATACTACTTAATTTATTCAAAAAAATAGAAATGGAGGGAAAACTTACAAATTCCTTCTATGAAGCCAGCATCACTCTCATACTAAAGCCTGATAAAGATACAACCAAAAAAGAAAACTATAGACCCATATCCTTAATGAACATAGATGCAAAAATTCTCAATAAAATACTTGCAAACCGCATACAGACACACATCAAAAGGATCATCCACCATGACTACGCCCCTTTTTTTAACAAGGTGAGAGAAAACTGCCATCTCCACGCGTTCTGTACAATTGAGCACTTTCTATGGCATCTTCCTAGCTACCTTTGATTCATGGTCAGTGATGCTGTTTTCTTACTTATAGTATTATATTATTTCCTTTAAATTTAATTTATTTCAATATAAAATTAATGGATTGAAAGAAAAGTATAGAGAAAAACGACAGTAGGTACTTTGCAGCTGTGATACCAAATGAGAATGGTAATCAAATGAATTTTAGAAATGGACTCGGTGGGGTGGGGACTGGAGAGATGGCTCAGTGATTAAGAGCACTGACTGCCCTTGCAGAGGACCCAGGTTCAGTTTCTAGCACTCACATGGGAGCTAACAACTGTCTGTAACTCCATTTCCATGGGAATTCAATGCCTTCTTCTGACCTCCACAGGCATTACATGGCACAGGTGCACTTACATACATGCAGGCAATATATATAAGAAAATAAAATATAATAAAACATTTTAATAGAAATAGGGGGCTGGAGAGAAGAGTCAGTGGTTAAGAACACTTGCTGTTCTTCCAGAGGACATGGGTTCATTTTCCAGCACCCACATGGTGGCTAACAACTGTCTGTAACTCCAGTTCCAGGGGACCTGACACTCTCTTCTGTCCTCTGTGGGGCATTGCACACATATGGTGCACTTACATACATGCAGGTGAAACACTCAGATACCTAAAATAAAAATAACAAATAAAATATTTTTTAAAATAGAAATGGATTCTAAGCCTGGGGGAGATGGCTCAGTGGGTAAGAGTATTCACTCTGCATGCAAGAGGACCTGAGTTCAAATCTCCAACACCCAGATAAAAGGCTAAACATGGTCATGCCTGCCTGTAACCCCAGCACTGGGAGCAGACTTAGAAGGATCCTGAAAATTCACTGGCCAGCCAGTTTAGTTGAAACAGCAAGCCTCTGGTTCAGTGAGAGACACTGTCTCAAGGCAATAAAACAGACAGCAGTAAAGGAAAATGCCAGGCATACTGCTCTGGCCTCCGGGCACACTCACTTTCATGTACCACCACACACACACACACACACACACAAAAAAAAAAATTAAAAATAAACAAATAAAACATAAAAATAATGAGCTGCAGAGATGGCTCAGCAGTTAAGAGCACTTGCTGCTCTTCCAGAGCATCTGAGTTTGATCCCCAGAACCCACATTGTGCACCTCACAACTGCCTTTAACTCCAGCTACAGGGATTCCTACACACTTCTTCTGGCCTCTGAAGGCACCCATATGTGCATGGTGCACACACACACACACACACACACACAAAATAAGGGCCAACAAGATGGCTCAGCCAGTAAAGGCACCTGTCACCAACCCTGCAATTGATTTGAGTTTGATCCTCAGGACTCATGTTGTCCTCTGACCTCCATATACGTGCCATGGCACATGTGCATACACCCCCCACACACACACACATAGACACAAGATAAATAAAATGTAATAAAATATAAAAAATAAAACAAAGAAATGGACTCTGATATAAGCCAAGACAGGTGAAGTCAGTAGGCTCCATGTGGCCCTAGTCTCTCAGGGCCTGCCTGGGGAGTATAGGGGAGGCAAACTGCCCTTTTTCTGCCCTGAGCTTTTCCAATTCTGACTGGAGTTTGGTTTCTGGACTTGACCTTCCCAACGTCCCCCAGGGGGCCTGGGTGAGCGCACTAGTATCATCTCCAAAGTTTGGTTGGAGGCCCTTCAGAATGGGAAGAGAGGCCTGGGTGCTGTGGACACTGTATCTTCTCACCCTGGGCTTCCACTTTTGAGGGCTAGGACAATGACATCTGAAAAGGAAACCGTAGCCCAGAAAGCCCCAAGAGGAACAAAGGTGGCTGAGGACGGAAATGAAAACCAGACCTCTAAGCGCTGGGAACAGCAGCCACTCTGGCACGGGGGTCTCCCCACCTGGGGCCTGCAGCCTCTGCTATGGACAGCCACAGACGCCCATGTACTTCAGGTGCCCCTGCTTTCCTCCTGACTGAGGAAGCAAAGCTGAAAGTGCTTGGAAACGCCCACGGAAATCTCGCAAGGACAGTAATTGCCGTTATTTAAACACATGCATCTCTGTTTAGGAATGTGTAACAGTACTTCTTAAATATACAAGCCAGGCATAGTGGCACACACCTGTAATCCCAGCACCCAGGAGGCTGAGGTGGGAGGTTCAGGAGTTCAAGATCATCCTGGGCTGCATAATGAGTTGAAGCCAGCCTGGGCTATATAACAAGACCTTTTCTTAAAAACAAAACAAAGTATAAATATAGTGCACTAACTACACTTATTTTTAAAATACGTACCTGGAGAAATCATAAATATTTACACAAAATGTACATGGAGGCTAGGCTGTTCTTTTCAGCAGCATTTATAACAGCAAGCCCTTGGAGATAACATAATGGCCAGTGATTGGGATGAGGCAAACTGATGGTGGTATATGTTTGGGATACAGCTGGCAAAAGCATGGGATGGTCATACCTCCCTGAATGCTCCAGAACTCATCTAAGAGCATACGATTGTATTTACCCCTTGTCAAATGCCAGACACTGCTGAAAATTTTGTATGTTATTTCAGTTAATACTCATCACATCTCCACAAATGAGGTACTAGTAGTATCACAGTTTCCAGTCTACAAGTGAGAAAATCAATACACAGACTCTAAGTCCCTCGGTCACAGACATAGGAAGTGGTAGAGTTGGGACTTCAACCTGGGTCCATTTGACATCAAAGTCAGAGCTGGACACCAAGCGCCACCTCATAAGGTCCTATAGTTCCATACACCACACAAGGGACCCAGTGGAGGCTCCTAAAATGGAATCGACCCAAATCTTAAGCCTTGGGGGGCCTCACCTGGAGGTTGCTGGGTATCTGTATGAACCAAGCCCCTGTGAGGCCACCTACCTGTCATAGGCACAGTTGGTGCTTTTCTTGACTGTAGTGTCCTCTTGGTCCCCAATCAGCCAAACAAACTTGGGGTCAGTCCTCAAACGGATATTCTGCCAAGCCTTCTTAGGGACATAGCTGCAGCCAGCATTGAAGTCTCCCATGAAAATGAAATTCTGAAAGGCATATTTTAGAACCATCACCTGGTGAGCGCTGTGACTCAGCTTTCACTTGTGGCCTCCAGTTATGACTCTCCTCCCATGCCCAGTGACTGAAGGGTCTTTTTATGGCCTGAACTGGACCCCTCCCAACTTTTAAATTTTAGATGTATTATTATTGTGTAACTCTATAATGTGTGAGTGCAGGCATGCATGTGTGGAGGTCAGATGACAACCTTTGGGAGTGGGTTCTCTCCTTCCACTATAGATTCCCGGGATGGAACTCAGGTCATCAGACTCACATGGCAAGCTCTTTTACTCACTGAGCCATCTCACTGGCCTGTCTGTCCCAATTTAAATGTTGAATTCCTAACCACCCCTCAACTTGTTAGGATATGACTATATTTAGAAATTGGGTCTTTTGGGGCTGGAGAGATGACTCAGCAGTTAAGAGCACTGACTGCTCTTGCAGAGGACCCAGGTTCGATTCCCAGCACCCAGATGGCGGCTATGAACCGTCCTTAACTCCAGTTCCAGGGGAATCGGAAACCCTCTTCTGACCTCCGTGGCACTGCATGACATGGGTGCACTCACATACATGTAGGCAATACACTCATACACATAAAATTAAAAAATAATAAATAAAATGTTAAAAAAATAAATTGGATCTTTTGTTGTTTTATTTTGAGACAGAGTCTCATGCAGCCTAGGCTGGCCTCAAACTAACTATACAGCCCAGGATGCCCTTGAACTTCCGATTCACCTCTTGAGTTCTGGAATTATAGGCTGTGCCCCATCACACCCAACTGCAGAATGGGACTTTAAAGAGGTAATTAAGGTAAAAATGAGGTCAGGCTAGTGGCCCCTTATACAGGAGCAGGCAAGTAGGAGACCCTGGGGTTTGATTCCCAGCAACACACACACACACACACACACACACCCCACACACACAAATTTAAAAATGGAATTAGAACACAGAGAGACACAGAAGGAAGAGAGTACAGAGACAACAGAAAAAAAATGACCATCTATAGGCCAAGGGCAGAAGCCTCCAGAAGGGACCAACGATGCTCTCACACACTACCTTAGCCTCATAGCCTCCAGCCCTGTGAGCAGGCAGCTCTGAGTTATTTAATCATCTTTGGTGTGCTGGTATAGCAGCCCTAGCAAACTCAAAGAGGATCTGTCTTAGTTTCCTTTTGAAAAGAAGAGGCCATAGTTTCCAAGTGAGTCAGAGTTTTGACAAGGATCCGACAGTGAATACAAGAGCATATCTAGTGGAGGGGGGCTGTTCACCCCATCACCCATCCTGTTCTTAGTCACCCTGTCTCTGTAATCCCAAGTGCACGGGTAGGTGGGGACACTGGGATCCAGCTAAGATAGTCCCTCACAGAGATACCACAGGAAATACCAATGACTTGGCACCTTGGGTAGTGGGTACACTGCTTTGCTGCATCCTGTTGTTTTGAGGTCAGAAACTAATTCCTGTCAAAATTCAGTCTTTGGGGGGAAAGGGAGGCAGGCCTTAGAGGTAAACTGGCCTTCTCTGCCCTATACCACCAAGAGAAGCCACTTCTTAGGTTGAAAGTGTTTTTCCCTGTAGGGCCCTTGGAAGAGAATTTTTACATTCCACGATACAGAGGAAACGTCTTACTTCCTTGTTTGTGCTACTGTTTGGGATGGTTGCTGACTTGAGAGGCTTTCTTTTAAAAGGACATTTCATTTTGACCTCTGCTAGCAGAGAAAGTTTCCCCTGAGATTAAGGTGCACAGTTGGAGACAAAATGCTATCCCTAACCTGAGTGCCACCAGCTTCTGCTCATATAGGTGTGAGTTGCTGAGATGCACTATGAGCCCAGGGCCAGCATGAAGTGATTTAGCAAGCTTAACTTCCATGACTAGAAAATACCATTAGCCACGATAGAAACAGGTCAGAGGGATTAAATGGCCTGCTCTATGCCACACAACTGGGCGCTTTCTGCGGGTAAAGCCCAGAACTGAACCTCAATCTGTCCTCCTGAAGGTCCCTCATTCCAAGATTCCTCCTTCCTCACTTTGGGTCACTGATTCTTCCCTAGGGACTGACACTCAATAGAAGCTCAATATATTTTTGCTTCATGAATGAAGGGTTTCGTAATTTGTCCTGGAACTTCAAATGAAATGTACCCATAGTCTTCATGGCCAGCTCTGACCAGCTGCGTCCACATTGAACTCATTTTGCACCTTGAGCAGGGGAACTAAGGAGGAAGGGGGACTCCCAGTCACGTTCTGAAAGGAGAAAAGAGGAATTTGGAGGGAGAGGCCTCTGGAGCACTTCTGTATTTGCCAGGTGCTTCCTCAAACCCTCAGAGCGGCAGGTGGCAGTGTCTCTGTCTTTCACATGGAGAGATGATGTAAGTCTTGATGGCTGGCCACTGTGATCGCTCCTTTTCCTGTTCCTGTCACTGACCACTGAAGCATCTCTGACTTGTCTGCTTCACTTTTCTCAGTTGCAAGTGGGAATGATTAAAGTGGCTGCCTTATGGGATCAGAGTGTGTGTGTGTGTGTGTGTGTGTGTGTGTGTGTGTGTGTGTGTGTGTGTGTGTGTGTGTGTGTGTGTGTGGTGTTGTACTCATGAGTACAGTCACACATGTTCATGTTTGTGGAGGCCAGAATACAACCTTGGATATTGTTTCTCTGGTGCTGCCTACCTTTTTTTGTGTGTGTGAGAAGGTCCTTCACTGGCCTGGGACTTGCCAAGTAGTCTAGACAGGCTGGCTAGCAAGCCCCAGAGAGCCACCTGTCTCTGCCTCCATAGCGCTGGGATTACAAGTTTGTGCCACCATGCTGGGCTGTTTGTTTTGGTTTTTGTTGTTGGTTTTTTAAATGGGGGTTCTGGGGACTGAACTCAGGTCCTCATGCTTGCAAAGCAAGCACTTTATTAACTGAGCCAGCTCCCCAGTCCCTTGTGGGATAACTGAGAAAATTGAATCTACCTGTTCATGTTGAGCTTCAGTGCAGTATCTAGCTGCTCAGCCCTAGTGCTAGTGACTCAGTGACACAGGCATTCCTTAGAAATGGTGCAGAGCATGAATTCCCAAGACCCAGAGAGAGAGGCCCAAGCAGGCCCGCCAAGAAGGATGTTTAAGGTTGAGGAAAAGCCCGAGATGAGGCTGTGAAGTGGTGGTGGCCTGAGTGTGCTCTGCCCTCTCACCCTCCTCCTCAAGAACCAGATACCGCCCCTGCTTGATGGGAACTGGACATCAAAGAGGTCCTTACCTCTACCTTCCATTGGCGTTTCACATCTGTGTAGACATCGGCCAGCTCATCTATCTCTTTAACAGAGGTCTCGGGAGTTGTGTGCAAAGGGACAATCACAAAGTCCTTGACGGCTGAGGAATGGGAGAGAACAGGAGGTCACATGCTTCCGACCAAGAACTCACCAACACTGTTGGAGGAAGTGTGCTTTCCCTTCTAGAAGGTACCGTAGGGGGCGCTGGGGAATAGTGGATCCAGCCTGTGGCTGAGATTTCAATGCTGTTAGTGTCATTAGGCAACTTATTTTCAGTGCACGAAAGACTCTTCACCCACAACTGTGCCCCCCCCCAACCAGCTAAAGGAAAGCTGGTCCTTGGTGGCACTGTTTCTCCCTCCCTCCCTCCCTCCCTCCCTCCTCCTCTTTTTCATTTTTTCTACATTTAATTACTTATTTTGTGTATGTGTGTGCATGCATGCCATGCTCATGATCTCGTGTTTAGTTTTGTGACTGGCTCCAGGGGCCAATTCGGGTCCCATCATGAGACACAGTTCCTGCCTAAGGTCACAGCCTTGGTTCCCATGAGGGTTGCTCTGTGTGCAAGGCTCAGTGTGTCTGGAATGCCAGAAATCTCTTAGTTATTCTCATTTTGGTGTTTTCAGCCTTGGGGAATGAGAGAGGTTAGAGAAATGTCAGACCAATCAACTTACAACCTCCTTAAATGATTCACACCCGAGCACAGAAGTGAGCAAGAATCTGACCCAAAGTTTAAGGTAGCAAAGGAGACAGATGCAGAAGGCAGGCAGAGGTGTCAAGCTTTCCCCTGCTCAGTGATGACTGCTCGTCCCCTTGCCTCTGCTGTTCTTCCTTCCCTACACTCCCAAGGGTCTTGCCAGTAGCTCCCAATGTAAGGCTTAGGAAGTGCTTTCCTCACTTTTCTGCGTCTCGTCGCCACACTGATGGTCGAATTCCTGTCTTGCTTTGTTACCACTTGTCTTGGGCTCAAGATGTGGCAGGCCTGATTTGTTGAGAGCCTGAGAGTCAGGACCCTGACCCAGCACTGTGGTAACATGTTTAGCTTTTGTACTAAAAGGAAAATGAAAAATCCAGGCTTGCTAGCTTATAGTACTTTTGTAATTGAGAATAAAAACCCAAAAAAGTTACTTTAAAAACAAGGAAGTCCAGTGTGATAGTACATGCCTTTAATTCCAGCACTTAGGAGGCAAAGAGAGGTGGATGTCTGTGAGTTTCAGGCCAGCCAGGCTTACATAATGAAACCCTATCTCAAAAAAAAAAAAAAAAAGATGGAGCTGCTGGAGAGGCTCAGTGGTTGAGAGAGAATACTGCTTTTGAAGATGACCCAAATTCAGTTCCCAGTACCTATACTGGGTGGCTTACAGCCTCTGACCTCTGAGGGTACCTGCACTCACATGCACATGCTTGTACACAGACACGCATAATCATATAATTAAAAATAATAAAAATCTTTTACAAATAATAAGACGTCAGATGAGGATTGTAACTTAGTTGGTAGAGTCCTTGCCTAGCACGCACAAAGCCTGGGGTTAGATCCCCATTACTGTATAAAAGCACGCATGGTTGTGCAGGCCTGTAATTCCAGCATTCAGAGGCAGAGGTAGAAGAATCAAGAGTTTAAGGCTAACCTAGGCTATAGAAGACCATATCTCAAAAACAAAACAAATCAGACTAGCGAGATAGCTCAGCATTTAAGAGCACTCACTGGCTGCTCTTCCAGAGAACACTGGTTCAGTTCCCAGTACCCACATGGCAACTAACAACTGTCCAGGGGATCCAGTGTCTTCTTCTGGCCTCCACAAGAATTGCATGACATGTATGCACATACATACATGCAAGCAAAACATTCATACACATAAAATAAATACATAAATAAATAATTTTTTCACCAAAATTTAAAAACAAAACTTCAATGCAAGGTTAGCCTGGGCTACATAGTGAGTTCCATGCCAGCCTGAGCTACATGTCAAGGCCTTGTACTCAAATCTCAAAAAATAAAAAACAACAATAACACACAGACAGACATACATACAGACACACATGCACATACCCCACTGGAGACAGAGAGCTACTAAATGTGGCTCCCAGGATGGGCCTGGGAACCATGTCTTATCTTCCTCTGTGATCTGAGCCCCTCTTCCTGGGGCATCCCTCATTCTCTGCCTGAATCTTACTCCTGCCTATCAGAGGAGGCTGTGAGATACCCACTGCTTAAGCTCCACCATGAGGAGCTGGGACCCAGATCCATAGGCTGACTCTTGGGCCTCAGACGTACCCCTCAGCCACCTCCTCAGGTCTCCGCCCCATGCCTCTGCTTTTCTTATGATTCACTACACACTTCACACCTATCCCACCTCTGGGCTTTTATGTTCTCTGTGTTTCCAACTGGAATGCTGTTTCTCCAGCCAGCTGTATGACCGGGTGCATCAGGTCACAGCTCAATGTTCTACCTCTAATGGTCATCTCTGGTTACCCCTCTGAGGTGGTCCCTGCCACACTATTCAATGTGTCCTATTTATTACTTTCTTCATGCTCTGAAATCATTCTCTTCACTTTTGGGCTCGGTCCATGAGAACCACCTCCACAATGCCTGGCTTATCCGTCCCCTTATTGTCTTGGTTGCACAGCCTAGCACAGCACCTGGCATATTGGAGGTGCTCAAAAGCATTTGTTGATTGAATACATGAATAAATGGTTAGATAAATAAATGAAATCACTAACTCATTTTCAATCCTGATACAACAGGGCAAACTCCAAACAGGCTGGGATGTCCCAAAGGAGAGAGGAAGAGTAGGAAAGGGTGGAAGGGTGGAGGCTCAGGACAAACAGGTTTGTTCAGTGATACATGGAGGCTTGCCTCTCTTTGAGAAGGAATAATTACCTGGAGATGGGGGCTCTCCCTGCTCAGCCATAAGTAAACTGGGTGATGACAAACAGGATTACTGCACTTGCTCTCTGAAGAGCACTTGCCCTCAATACCCACTTCCAGTTTCCTACTGAGAATCCCCCATACTTCTATAGCTGTTTTCCTAAAGTGCTCTTCCTCTAAGTTAATCAAGTCTGGGCAGAAATAGCCCCATAGTTCAGGACGCTGTACCAGTGTGGTACAGATCTAGGCGTGATTTTAGCTCAGCGTATATTTATTTGCTCACGTTGTGTCTCCCCCACTACAATATGGTGTCATGAGGGCGGGGACCGTGTCATTCTTCTCGGCCCCAACAGGGCCTGATACACAGCAGGCAGGCAAAAAATATTTGAGTCTACACACTGAAATCAATTTAATATCTCTCTACCTCCCCTCCCCTCTACGATAGGGTCTTGCTATGTAGCCCTGGATGGCCTAGAACTCACTATGTAGACCAGGCTGGTCTCAGACTCACAGAGTCCCACTCACTCTGCCACCTGAGTGCTGGGATTACTGGTGTGCAGCTGTGAGCCACCATACCTAGCCTATTTAATTCTTGACTTCTTTTTCCCTTTTCAGTGCAGAGGATTGAACACAAGACCTTGTGCATGCTAGGCAAGTGCTCGTCCAGTGAACTATGCCTCAGCCCTTAGCATTTTGAAACAAGGTCTTACCACATAGCTCAGGTTGACTTCAAACTGCTGATCCTTCTGCCTCTGTCCAAGTGCTAGAATTATGGGCATGTGTCACCACTCCCAGCAAATTCTTAACGCTCTATTGAGTACTGAGTGTGATGACAAATACAGGCTCATGAGCTGGTGACTAGTCTTACAACCCTGGCTGGTTCATTTTAATAGCCGGGCTTGGATAAGTGATAGTACCTTTTAAAACCTCAGTTCCTCAAATTCACGTAGGGAATAATCCTAGTCCCTACTTTGTGGTGCGTTGCAAAAATAACCAGAAACTTGCAGTTAATCATGGATCAGTGGTAGTGTTGCTGAGGCAAGGCATGCCTGATTGGGCTTTCCTCCTGCCTGGGAATCTGTGGAGAAGGCTCCTTTGCTATTGAGTGAGATTCACCGTGGGGTTTACCTTTGGTGGCCATCACTTGGGTTTTTTGAAAATGAAGGAATAGTTAGGCTTGACATGGACCAAAGAATTGTGGTAGACCATTTCCATGCCCCTAAATACTCTAGAGGGTGGAGTTATCACTGACCCTGGTGAGTGGGATCCAGGCTGAGGAGGTCCTTCAATGTTGGCATTCTGAGAAGCAAGCCTGGTACCATCACCCTGCCACCTCTCCTCTCAGGCATTAGAAGCAGAACATTCTCAGCTCAACCATCCCTGACAACACTGCTCACACACGCTCAGGGCCACTGTCCCTTCATGGGCTGCTGGGGAGGTCAGGGAGAGGGGCTATTATGGTTTTAATATCCCCCACAGGTTCATGTGTTGAATGCCTAGTCCCCAGCTGATGGCACGATTTTGGGAGATTGTGGAAACTTCAGGAGGTAGGGCCTAGCTAGAGGAAGTGAGTCACTGGGGAGCATACATGGCCTCAAGTCCCTGTCTGGCTCTCCGTTTCCTGTCCATCATGAGGTGAAGAAGCTCCTCCACCACACACTCCTACTGTCATAACATTCTGCCTCCCCACAGTCCTAGAATCAGTGAAGTTGAAGACTGTGGCCTGAACCCTCTGAAACAGTAAACCAAGATCAGTCTCTCCTCCTTTATGTCACAGTAACACAAAAGTAACTAATGTGGGGCCTGTGACTCACCAGTGAAAGGTGACTGGAACCAAACCACAAAGGGCTCCCTGGAAAACACATCTGTGTCCCCGTACTGATAGTCGTGGTAGAGGTAGTTTGCCTTCACAGACACCAGCTTTTCCCTAGAAGAGAACAAAACAAATCTTGCCCGCTGAGTTCACTGGTTGGAAACAATGGTTCCTGTGACTTCACTGGTTTTCCAGAGGAGGCTCAAGCACTGGACAGATCATTTCCCCAAGAACAAAGCTGAGTTATCTCTTCTCAAGGGCCAAGGCCCTTCAGGAGCTGGAGGTCTGAGTCATACTTGTTTTCTGAGGCACACACAAGTGAATGTTCAGACCCAAATCAAATTGCTAGCAGGAAGACAATAAGATTCAGTTGTGCTGAACTACTCAGATTTCCAGGGCTGAGCCATTAAGGATAGATAACTCCTGTCCCAGCCAATCGTTGAGTTAACCAACAGATTAAGTATTATGAAGGTGCTTGTGTTTTTTATTTTGATGATTAAAACATTCTTGTTTCTGTTTTTTGTTTTGAGACTGAGGATGATGACCTTGAACTTCCGATCCTCCTACCTCCACCTTCTGAGTACTGGGATCGCAGGCATGTGCCTCTAAGTCCAGTTTATTAGGTGCTGGGGAAGGAACCTAGAGCTCCATGCAGGCTCGGCAAGCACTCCATCAACTGAGCTACATCTGCAGCCCACGAATCATCAATTTTGATAGCAAAGATTTTGATTGATTTTGAGAGCTGGTTAGACACAAAAACCCATTGTTAAAGAAAAGATACATATTTTGATTCAATTAAGTCACGGTTTTAGGTGGGCCGTTCTGCAGGGACCACAGATCATACTCACTTGTAGAGAAAAGCATACTGTTCTTTGTATGTGTTTCTTCCAAGTCGAGAGCTAATCACATAGTTGTATGTTGTGCTTCGTGAATTTCTAGAAAACACAAATAGTTCACAGTGTGTTGTAAAGAATGAACATGTCTCCACTGCATCTGTCCCCCACCAGCCTGTCTCCGTATTCTAGCTGCTCTCCATAGCTTGTGTGTGTGTGTGTGTGTGTGTGTGTGTGTGTGTGTTGTACATGTTTGTGTATGTGATGTGTTTAGGGGGGTGTGCATATTGTGTTGTGTATGTGCTGTTTGTGAGTGTGTGTTGTATGTGTGCATGTGATGTGTTTGGGGGTCTGTGCATATTGTATTTGTGTGTATGTGGTTGCTTGTGAGAGTGTGTGTGCATGCGTGCATGTGCGTGTGTGCGTGTGTGTGTAGGCAACAGGTTGATATCAAGTGTCTTCTTCAACTGCTCACCACCTTATTTTTTTGAGAGACTGTCTCTCACTGAACCTGCAGGTCACTGATTCAGCGGCTGTCCCACAAATCCCAGGGATCCTCCTGTGTTTACCTCCCTAGTTCTGGGATTTCAGGCAGGGCCACCATGCAGACTTAGTGCTGAGAATCTAAACTCAGGTCCTGATGCAGGTACTTTATTGACTGGGCCATGCCCTCAGTCTCTCATTCTAACTTTTGAGTCTGATACCATTGATCGAAACTGAGAGATCTGGAAGGATCTTTGTAACCCTTATTTCTAGTTTTTCCCATGTAGGAGATCAAACCCAGAGCCCAACACAAGCTCGCTAAGCTAGCACTCTACTACTAAGACATCGCCATTCCTACCCATCTTTTTCCTTTTTCTTTCTTCCTTCCCTTGTTCTTCTTTCACATTATTGTTTTATTTTTGTTTATGTGTATGTGTGTATGCCTGTGTGATTATATGTCACATATGTGCAGGTGCCCTTAAAGGCCAGATGAGGGTGCCAGATCCCCTGGAAGTAGAATCGCAAGCTGTTGTGAGTTGCCCAGCGTGGGTGCTTGGAACAGAACTTGGGTTCTCTGGAAGAGAGCAGCAGTTCTTAACTGCTGACCATCTCTCCAATCTGCTTTCTTTTCTTTCTTTCTTTCTTTTTTTTTTTTCTTTTTGACTTGGTCTCATTATATAGGCCAAGCTAGCCTGGAACTCATGATCCTCCTGTCTCAACAACCCCCATGCTGGCATATAATACCACACCAGTCCTTATTGCCTGTCCTACAAAGATGGCTATTATTTTTACTCCCCACTGCATGATTTAAGAATACAAATTTAGGATTTTAACCCAGACCTTACTCATTCCAAAACCTACAAGCTTTGGAGAACCATAAAGCCTACAGATCATCCAGGCAGAGTAAGAGTAAGAAATCCTTGCTTTGGGGCCTTCAGGATGGCTCAACAGATAAAGGAGCTTGCTGTTGCCAAGCCTGACAACCTGAGCTTGATCCCCAGAACTCACATGGTGGTAGGAGAGAACCAGATCTCACAGGTTGTTATTTGTGACCTATACGTGTGTGCCATGGCGTGTACACACACACACACACACACACACACACACACACGAAAGAAAAGAAATCCCTACTGGCTAGATGATCCTGGGCAGGTCCTCCCTCTCTGTGCCTCAGTTCCTCAGTCACAAGGGAGACAATAACAGTACCTACCCCATGATTTGGGTTTATATTTGTTTTTTGGGGGGTTGTGTATGTGTGTGAGTGTGGTGTATGTAGGTGTGGTCCACGCACAGAGCCCAGAGGAGGATGTCAGGTTTTCTGTTCTATTACCTTCCGTCTTATTTCTTTGAGATAGGTAGGGTGGGTCTCTCACTGAACCTGGGACTAGATTGTTAGCCAGCAAACCCCAGTGATCTTACTGTCTGTAGAATCCTACTGTCTACAACCCCCATAGCTCTAAGGTTATAGGCACATATGGCCCTGCCCACCTTTTCATGTGGGTGCTGGGACTGGAACTCAGGCCCTCAATATTCATTGACATCTCTCCAACCCCTTGTCTGTTTTTTTGAGTCAAGGTCTATTACAGCCCAGGCTAGTCTTGAACTTCCTATGTAGCCAAGGATGGCCTTCAGCTCGTTGATCCTTCTGCCTCCACCTCCCAAGCCACTGGGATTATAAACGTGTATCACCATGTCTGGTTTATGTGGTGCTGGGGATCAACCCAGGGTTTTGTGCATGCTGAGAAAGCATTCTACCAACTGAGCTACAACGCCAGCCCATACTTTGCTGTTTTGTGGAGAATAAATAAAACAGCACAAGTGGTGGATTAGCAATTCCTGGCCTGGAGTTGGGATATCAGTGGGAGCTTTTACATGTGGCCTCTGGGCCATCACTTGCCTTTATAATTCCTTTGTTTTAGAAGCTATAGATGCTGTTAACACATGGTGATCCTGGCTATACACCAGGCATAGTTCAACTTATATGCAGGAGTTAATTTAACTACAATGAAATCTCAGGGCTTCTACCTCAGCCCCATTTTATACATGTGAAAACAAACAAGGTACAAACAAGGTCCTGGCACAAGTGTCCAAGGCAAGCATGAGCTCCTGATCCCTGTGCTCCCTTTGTCTCCAGCTTTCAAAGACCAGATCCAGAATCAGAGGACCTGCCAAGGCTAAACACAGCTGTGATATTATTTTCAGGTGAGAAACTGAGGCCCAGAGAAGGGTGAGGTGAGCCCAAGAAGCCCTTTGTGGGCAGGAGAGCATTTCCAACTGTCCTCCTTCAGCCCTGTGCGTCCAAACTGACCACTTATTGCTGGAAGAAAGTCCTAATTATGGGGTCTATTCATGGTTAGATGTTGCCTTTTGTTAAATCCAGGTGATAGATATCTGACTGCTAATTAGAATCTTCTCTGTGCTTTTACATATGTTTGAGATATTTCAACAGAAAAAGGGATCAGGGTTATTTAATTCTCTTTGAAAAATACCAGAAAACACAGGGTTAAAAAACCACTCAAAGCCGGGCATGGTGGCGCACGCCTTTAATTCCATCACTCAGGAGGTAGAGGCAGGTGGATCTCTGTGAGTTCAAGGCCAGCCTGGTCTACATAGTGAGTTCCAGGACAGCTGGGGCTAAAGGGAGACCCTGTCTCAAAAAGACCAAAAAAAAAAACCACTCAAATTCTTTATAAATTTGTATTCTGAGATAGTCACTGTCAATGTTTGCTGCATTTTTTTGACTTTTATATTTTTCACACATAATTGAATGAACAAGGTACATATTGTTTTCTTAATGTTATTTTTTAGAAGAAGCATATCATTACGCCTTTAATAAGCTCAGTAACAGTTTCCAGGGCAAAGAAAAGTGGCTATACAATGTTTAGGTTCGCTGTTGAATTAATACAGTTATACGATATTGAACTCAGTATAAGCCCCGTAAGACAACCATGGTCAAGCAGGACCTTTGACTTATCTTCACATAGGTGAATTGGTAAAAGAAAGGAGCCAGGAGCTCCTCCTAAGCCCATGTGACCCCTGAGGAACAGATCCTCAAACGACCTTAAGAGTTAAAATAAATTGGTTTATCTGGGCTAACTGTATGGTTTAACCACCCAAAAGGAAAGTATAACCAAAGATTAAAGGGGCCAATATAATTTCTTAAGAGTCCATATGCATACATAAAGGCTGCAAAACAAGGAACAATGCCAGATAGGAGATGCCCTCTTTTGAGTTGCTGGCCAGGGTGGCCAAAGGGACTCCCAGATAGTAACCCAGCAAAACATCCCAAACCATCTTATTCAACTATAAACCCACTTCCCAGATGGCACCCTCCCATAGCCTCCCTCCCCCGACTACAGCCCTTATACTCTGATATCCCAGCTACTGTCTGCTGTGCTGTCAGCACCACTAGCCCTTTCCCACTACTTGTCCATCTGGTGAATCTAGTCAGCCTCTCTAGTGGTCTTTGTTTTAGGAAGGTCAGCTGTTCCTCATCTAACAGCAATCAGTTGTCAATAGTCCTTTAGATAAGATTGGGGTCTGCTGTTCATTTTACCAGTTCTAGGCTTGGTTACTATCTGGGAGTCCCTTGGGCTGGTCAACAACTCAAAAGAAGGTGTCTCCTATCTGGCATTGTTGCTTGTTATGTAGCCTTCAGCTATACATGTGGACTCTTTAAAAAATTATATTGGTCCCTTTAATCTTCAGTTATACTTTCCTTTTGGGTGTTTAAGGCCATACAGTTGGCCCAGATAAACCAATTTATTTTTACTCTTAAGGTTGTTTGAGGATCTGTTCCTCAGGGGTCACATGGGCTTGGGAGGAGCCCCTGGCTCCTTTCTTTTACCAGTTCCACCTATGTGAAGATAAATCAAAGATCCTGCTCGACCATGGCTGGCTTCACATATTGTTTTTTTTAAATATTTTATTTATTATTTTTATTTTATGTGTATTTATGTATTGCCTGAGTGTAGATAAGTGCACCCGTGTCCTGCAATGCCCTCGGAGAACAGAAGAAGCTGTTGGATCCCCTGGAACTGGAGTTATAGACAGTTGTTAGCTGCCATGTGGGTGCTGGGATTTGAACCTGGGTCTTTTCAAGAACAGTCAGTGTTTGAAACCGCTGAGCCATCTCTCCAGTCCCAATATGGTACATATTGTATACTCTTCTGCTTACTCTTGTAATTTGTCTATAGAATAAGCTATATATATGTGTGTGTGTATATATATATATACACATATGGCTATACCTATATCTACATCTACATATGTTCAGATATGATTGTGCATGCCTTTAATTCCAGCATTCAGGAGGCAGAGGTAGGTGGATCTGTGTGAGATTGAGTTTAGCCTGGTCTACATAGTCAGTTCCAGGCTAGCTGAGGCTACAGGGAGACCCTGTCTCATATAGGGGTGTGTGTGTGTGCATGTGTGTGTGTGTGTGTGTGCATTATATTACAGTTTTTTTAAAAATTAAGCCACGTATAACCTGGGTTTGGTGGTTCATGCCTGTAATCCCAACACTCTGGAGGTACAGCCAAGGGGATCAGAAATTCAAGGTCATCTCTTGGCTACATAATGAGTTTGAGGCCAGTTTGGAACACATGACACCTTATCAGGCTTGGGGTGTATCTCAGTGGTAGAGCACTTGTCCTGTATTTGATTCACTACCACAAAATAAAATATTTCAGTACATAAGAATCCCCCAGAAAGCTAGTTAAAATGGGTTCCTTAAATGGATACTTTCATTCAATGGGTGATTTTCTGCTGGATGTGTGCAATGGTTTGGAGAGTGTCCCCCAAAGCCTAGGTATCAATCTGTGGCACTTTAGCACCATTTTCCTTGGTGGTGGAATCCCTGAAGGTTTTGCACAGTGATGGAACCATGGAGAAGGAAGTTAGGTCACTGGGGGCATCCCTTGCTGAGGATATTAGGACCCTGACCCTCATCTCTCAATTTCCTTCCTGTTAAGTGGTGAACAGTCCTCCTCCTCATGCTCTTCCCTTGATGTGCTACCTTTCCAGAGACCTCAAAGAAACAAGCTAACTGACCATGGTCTGAAACCTCCAAAACTGTAAACAAAAACAACCCTAAGTTCTTCATAAGCTGTTTCTCTCATGTATTTTATCACAGTGATGGAAAGCTGATGAACATGATGATTTTGCTGATTATTCAGAATGAACAGAGATCATCAGTATTACCCAATGTCATTTAAAACTATTGGAAGACATTGCTTTTTTTTCATTGATTTCAAATTATAAAATCAACTGGCATTGATTTAATATTCAGAACATATAGAAGTATTAAAATTTAAAATGTCTCCCATTCCTTCTCGTCTCCCAGCTCCACCCACAATGGCTTTCCAATCTTATCTCCCCAAAGCAGCTATTAACAATTGGAAGCCCATCCTCCCACCTTTCTTCTGTGTCATCCTAGTATTCCCATGAAATGTAACCTGGCAACTAAAACAATCTGCGCTAGCAGTCCTGAACACTGTTTCTGATCTATTGCAGCCATCTTTCCTTGCTGAAATATTTAGCTGTATAATGGTCCAACCTGTGGGCTCATCATGACTTTACTGACCCTTTCTTCTATGTTTGCATTCAGTCTTTAGCAGGACTTCTTAGCTCAGCCTTTTATCTACCACTTTCATTCTTCTGTCCCAGTTCTTCACTTTTTCCTCCTGTTTTTACTTTGCTGTATTAAAATCAACCAGTTGAAAGTACATGGGACTAGCTAGGAGTTGAAGCCTACCCAGCCCTGGCCATGTGGTCAGGCATCCTTGCACTTGACCGTCAGCTGTCCAAGGGCTCACCCTTCTCCCTGTTTACCCGTTCAGCTTTTCCATCAACATGGGGCAGATCTTGTTGTTGCTGTCCTTGATTTCCATCAGCAATATGAGGTCACAGCGTTTGATGACCTGCAGACAGAGAATTCCCAGGGGTTGAGGCCATTTACCACAAATCACAAGACCTTTCATCAGGTACTTGCTGTACTGTGAGTATTGTACTGGCTACTTGCTAAAAGAATTTAGTTTCTTGCCTGAACTAAATGAAGGACTTCCTGAGGCCAGTGCTTACAGTATGTCTGTCTTGTGTTTTGTTGATGTTTGTTGTTTTGAGATGGTGTCTCACTATATCCAGGCTGGTCCCAAACTCTAGGTATAAAATGATCCCACTGCCTCAGTCCTGAGGAGCTGGATTTGCAGAAGTGTAGTCTGAGCCCAATGCTTTTGTTGTTATTATTGTTTAATTTATTCTCTGTCCATTTTAGTTTAGTTAATTTGTTTCTTTGAGACAGGTTCTCCCTGTAGCCCCAACTGGCCTGAAACTGGCTATATAGACCAGGCTGCCCTTGATCTCATGGAGATCTGCCCGCCTCTGTCTCCCAAGTGCTGGGACTAAAGGCATGTATTACCCTACCCAGCCATTTTAGTTTTTTTAGACAGGGTTTCATATAGTCCAGTCTGGTTTTGAACTCACTATGTAGCTGAGGATAACCTTAAACTCCTGCTCCTCCTGTCTCTACCTCCCAAGTGCTGGGATTTCAGGTGTGTGCCACCATTGATTGTATGTCCATTTTAATGACCAGGAGACCGAGGATCAACTATATTACACAGCCATCCAGGTAGAAAGTAGCCACAGTGTGAGTCACCTGTCCTCTTGTTCAGGGAGGACATGGAGACCCCATGAGATGGACTTGAACCAGTGTGCAGTCTATAAAGAGGAAGGTCAACTTAGAGGAAACATCTCATTCATGCTTCCAAGTGAAGCCAGACATGGTTGAACAG